GCCCATAAACTGGAAATTGGATAAAGAACATGTCATTTTTAAATAAAATTGAGTACTACTCAGCCAGTAGAAATCAGAATTAGAAAAAAAAAAGAAATGAAAATTAGAGACATTTATAGCTAATGCACATTGAGGCTATACTCTTAAGTGAAATAAATACAATACACATGTATAAATACCAATTAGTTTTTCTGCTGTAAGAATCTGAAAGTGTAAATAAGGGTCAAGAGGTGTAATAGATAATGTGAAATAGGAAGAAAAGGTACAAAGGGGAAGGTGAAGTGGGAAGGGTTGGGGAAAGGAAAGAAGGGAATGGAATTAATATGAGAAAATGAAAAAATGGAAACAAAGTCTGTGTAAATAGGAAGAGGTGGAGGGGTTGAAGGGAAAGCAGGGAAATGGGAATAAAACAAAATAAGTATGTGGACATGTACATTTGCTCCCCTCATTTAGGTCCGACATTTGCTCTTGATACTTAGGTTGAAGTCATGAAGTTTTCACTTAAAATTTGGTTTTATTGGTATGAAGTACTTTGCAAGTTTGCATTACAGTTAGATTAACATCTATTTTCTTTTTTTTTAACATCCATTTTCCAATGACTTAAGAACTTACCTGTCCATATTATGTAGAAATTGACCCTGAACCTTGAAGTCGAACTTACTGAATCCACAACAGTTCTATAATTTTGTCCCAGTGAGGCCTGTAGTGCTTGGAAACACCAGAAAGTGAGAGAAAATGACATGATTCATTGGGACACCAATGTCATGCTGACACACACTGTGATAACCAAAACTTGGTCAGAGTCTTTGTAAATTGATGTCATGGGATGGGTAATCACTAAATCTTCATAATGCTCTGTAGAAGGATCTAACAGTCAGCTTCTTTAGTTTTCTTCAGTCATTTTGAAACCACCCTCACCCATGTACATACTCATGGGCCCTTAGGCCATTCTATTGAGGCAGTATTATAGGCCCATACTACCTGCTCTTTTCTATTACATGTTATTAGAGGATCTATTTTTATTTAAATCTGAGGGACTTGGATTAAGTTCAGTCCAATCAGCCTATAAAGTTATCCGACAAACAAGACAGGAAAAGCAGGTTGGAATCATGATGCTCTGTCCCAAATGCAATGGGATCTTTAAACATGTTGTTTTAAACTTTTTTAGGTCTTTAGAAAACAAGAAATGTGAAGAAAGTGAAGTTGCTGTAGTACCTTGACTGGCCTTCCTTTTACAGCTGAGGGAAGTAACTAGAAGGCCACTGAGACCTGGGTATTCCTTGCTTGTCTGGTGTATGCCCTATAACAGAATCTATATTGCATGAAGATCTTCCACCTCTGTGCACCATGGCAGTCAGAAAACGCTGGAAGGAGAGAAGACTCTTTACCCTGGATCCTGCGATTATGGTGCAATTTGATAATTCTGGGGTCATTTCCACCTCATCTCACATTCATGTTCTACTCATTCACCATCGGGATTTAGGCCTCTTTTAGTCTACAGATTGTACCTCAGTTTTGATCTTGGTATACAGCTCTTTCTACTTATATATCTGGCCTAAGATTCTGTTTCTCCAAAGAATCCTGATTTATAAACATGGCACAATTTCAAATTGAAAACAATCTTATTACTTATGAAACTTGTCTGTATTTTTCTAACTTCACCCATCTTAAACCCTTTTCTCCTTCCTCCCCCCACATTTTTCTCTCCATTCCCTTTCATTTAATGCTCTTAAGCACTGAAGCTTGCATCCACATATTTACCAAATTTTCGTTTGTTCCTTGTTCTAAATTTTTTCCTCATTTATCAATTTAGCTTTTGAAATGTACTCTCACTTGATAATAAATTTAACAATTGAATCCCATTTATCCTCTTTCTAAAGGAAGACTGTCTTTCCCAAGCTCTTATTTTTCCAAGGGTGGCCATAGTTCAACAATAGTTCCCTATCACAGAGGAGGAATGAGAAGATTGCTGTACTCTAGAATCACCCAGTGGAGCCAGTGAAGCTGTAGCCACATTACAACTGAAATTTTCTTCTTCCCAATCCCATCTTCTTCTATACTCTACATAAGTGTTTATCTCAGGGGATAAACAGTTGCTCTCCAATAAGCAATTTGCATAAATATGTCTATCTCAGAATCTGGTTCCTAGGGAATCTAACCAACAAAAAATTGTACCAGGAAAACTAAGATAGTAACATTGGATTCTGGATGGGAGGTCTGGATGGCTAGGATGCCCACAATGTGGCATGCGTAGACTTGGCACAAGGAGCTATGCAGTTGTTAATATTTTCACTGCTGCCATCAGTCAGTAGAAACTCCCTCAAAATTCCTTTACCACCCCAGTATCCATTTGTCTAGCATTTTGGGAGCTCATAGCTAAAGGTTTACAAGTGCCATTTGTTAGGAGAGAAAAGGAACTGAGTTCCGGAAGACATGCTTTTATTTGCAGTTAATACTTGATAGGAACTGCTAGCAAGCAAACTCCAGAGGGGCCCTCTCCTACAGGCTAGGGGAGCTAATACGGAATTTGAAGGAGAGGACTGTGGCTATCTTGAGTCCTGGTTGCTTTGTAACTTTTAATAACTGGGCTGTTGTGCCTGTCTGTGTTTACCTTATAGGGCTCATTGTTTTAACGAAGGTCCATAAATCTTGGTCATCCAGTGGAGATGGAAGCTCTGCCTCCCTAACCCCCCCCCCACACAATGGGAATCAAATTCAGGACCGTGTGCTTACAAGGCAGATGCAGCGCCACTAGGCTAAATCCCTGGCCCAGCCCCATGATTCTAACTCTTAACAAATTCCTTTCTCAAGAATCTATGGCAGAGGCTCTGCCTCCAGAGAATCTGATGGAAGACACTACCAGTCCTGCTTTGTGCTCAAGTATAGAGAAACTCTAGCTAAATATTCCAAGTGTGCTTAAAATGATGAACTATTCTACTGTTGTTGGGTAAGCATACTACATTAACATATTAGGCCAAATTTGTTAATCATATTGTAGGGCAAGCAGGATGTAGAACAAATATGGGATAAAACATGGATGGCTAACTTTGTAAAATCATCACATGCTTATGTGGCTGATTGTAATGCTTATCTGTGTCTGTAATTGTAAGGTCATCACATGCTTATCCTGTATCTTTGTACTTTGAAAATGTACCCTACTCTACCCTTATGAAAGTGTTATATTTAGTGTGTTGATCTTGTCCTCTTCCCAGAAACAAAGGCTAAGACCTTGATTGACCTAGATCACCAAAGAATGAGATAGTTATTTTTAGGAACCAACTTACCTCTGTAAGGATGAAGTACACCTCATATTCACTGGGACATCCTAGCAGGATGCTCCCTATCTTGCAACATCATTCTGCATTCAAATTTTGAGCCATTCCAAATTTCCCAATGCAGAGATAAATAGATAAATGGGTAAAGGTCTTCAGGTCTTTTTGAGGTGAGCACAGGGAACCTTATTAATTATCCTGTCCAACATCTTCAGGGTTCTTAACCCTAGGAACATACCTACCTCAACAGCTGATGAGTTTGGGGTATAAGATTAGCTCAGATCAGGTGTGGGGATTGGGAAATATTATTGATGCTACCTCTCAAATTCATGGAAAGTATCCTTGATTCCATCTGTTTGTTTTCTCCTCATCACTTTTGAAACTATTCCCCATCTTCAGAACTGTCCTTGGATAAGGCTCATAGCCTAGCATTCTGATAGTGCAGCTTATTTCTGTAAATGTATCTGACTTGATTCCAAAAATTACTGGGCAGAACCAGGCATCAGTATAACAGCATCTACCACTTTCCATCAGGGAGTCCAGTTTTGCTATCATACCTGTCTCTTCAGCCCTAGCTACCACAGAGAGAATAACAGTCAATAATATCTTGAAATTAGGCAAAATATCTATCACCAGTACATATTATTTTTTTATTTTATTTTTTATTAGGTAATGCTTACAGTGCATAATGATTACATCTCTTGTGGGGAAGTGGTGCATGTATATAACAAATTTTAATCTTTTTTCATACCCTTCCCCTCCTCACCCCTTGCTTCATCTCTTAGTCACCTTCCCATTTGAAAAAGACATATCTTCCTTTTTTCCTATTTTTATTTTGCTTTTTATTTGTATTTTGGGTTTGTCTTATAAGAAAAACCATGTCATGTTTAAGCTTGTGTGTCTGGTTTATTTCACTTAACGTTATGGTCTCAAGGTGCATTCATTTTTCTATACATGACTGAAGCTTATCTTTCCTTATAGTCCTGTGTACTACTCCATTGCATGTAATTATCACATTTTCTTTATCCTTTCATCTGTTGACTGGACATATAGGCTACTTCCAAGAATTAGGGATTATCAATTGTGTTTCTATGAACATTGATGTGCAAGTATCATTGTTATGATGTCATTAACTCTTTTAGGAAGATACCTAGAAGTAGAATAGCTAAGTCTAACACCAGGGCATATCCTTAATGTGTTTTACTTTTAATGGTTTGCAACTAACTCAGAGACAGGAAGTAGAGGCTATATTGACTTAGATTTTTAAAAGCCACTGGAAAATTTATACCTTAATTTTGAAGTAATTACAGGGATGAAGAAACAAATCCAAAATCAAAACAGTATTAATATGCAAACTTTATGCTTTCTTTTACTCAAGTCTTAGGCTCAGATCCCTCACTAAACTGACTGATGTCATTTCTGCAAATAATGAGGAAATCCATCATCTTACCACCAATTGCATTTTTATTATTGTTATTGCTAGTATTACAGTTTAAATTTTCTTGTTTCCAAATTTTATAATACAAGCATTCTCAAGAAATTTTAAATGGATTATATAATAAAAATTGAGTATATAAATTTTTTTCTCCTGATGATTTCACTTTTCTCCCTAGAAGGACACAAGCATATTAGTTTCTTATTTAACTTTTAAAAGACGTTTTATTTATATTTACATATACATGCTGTCATACACTAGTGCCATGTATAATAATAAACATATATATATTCTGTTTGAGTTTGTTTTATCTCAACCTTACAATAGACTGAAGACAATTCCGTATTTGGCCAAATAGATCCCCACTGTCATTTTACTATCTGTTTTCCAATATCAGTGCTACTAAAAGTGACACTGTGAAGCTTGTCTCACAACATTTAGGTAATACTCAAAATCTGTCATTTCCTTACAATTACAGATAAAATTACTTAAAGAATGAAGAAATTCCTTTTACAGCTTTGCTGAGCAGTATACCAGGAGCACATAGAGTTGAGACTATTCCCTGCCCAAGGGCAGTCAAGGCTCGCTCAATGAAAGGCGCATCGTCCTTCCTCGTAGCTTCCATCCTATTCTTCCAATGATTTATCTCTTTATTCATTGCCTCAGATTTCTTCTTAAATCCTTCTTCAAGCAAATCCTTTTGCATCTAAAATAAATGAATAAAAGTTGAGAAGTAAATAAAATTTGTGTAATACTTCTCTATTCAGATTATACCTTTTTAAATAAAACCTTGGAAAACCATATTGTACTAACCTTAAAATGTTTGCAATTATATGAGAACAATTTTAACATAGCAACAAAAAATATTGTCTGAATCAGGCAAATATGGTGAGGAAGAAGCACAGTTTTACTTTATTATTATTTGTTCACCATTCGTTCCTGTTATGCTAAGGTATGAGAACAAATTTTTTATATTCTTGCCAAAAGAAATCCCATTGTTCTGACTGCACAGATTCTCAGCTTCCCTTGGCAGTATTGTCTCCACATCATGGTGACCACTGGAATTTGACTGCTCACTTAGAAATCTCTTCTACAACATCCAGGTGGATAAAAGCAGAACTACTCTGGTGCCATATGTTACCTGAGGCAGGCTCCTCACCTGTGGTGATATGGATCAGCTCTAAAATATCTGCCAAAATACTCATGTATATGAAAGGAGATTGGATCATCAGAGTGCTTTACCCATCACAGCATTTATCCACTGATGACTTTAGTGAGAGGGTATTCTGTTAGTCTATGAGGCCTGGTGGAGGTGGATTATTAGGGGCATGAACTGGATGGGAGTATTCTTATCCCCATCTCCTCCCCTCTGTCTGTTTCCTGCCTCACATTCTTTAGATCTTTGGTGACAGTAAGGCTCCTCCTATGGGTTTGTTAATCCACACCAGTTGATGCTGGCTAAAAATTGTTTATTCAGGTCCTGGTAATTCAGGCCCTTGTGAGATCATTTTACAAACTCCCAAAACACAAATGCTATTCATATTCTCCAAGGAAATAATAGGAGTCAAGATAACTTGAATTTTCAGAGTCCGAATATGGAGCAAAATTAAAAGCAGGCACCTTTAAAAAAAATAAACAAAAGGATTCCAACTTTAATGCATTATAAACACCAAAAGGCTGTGGTTCCTTTCATAATCTGATTGTAATCTTCACCAGCCTAACAAAGTAACAGAGACACTTGGAATTACTTAGAAGGGAAACACCCACCTGCAACTGCTGATCCAACACTCTTCTTTGATCTCTCAGGATGTTTTCTCTCTCCAACTGCAGCTTCTTTTGCAATTGTTCCATGTTTTCCCTAAGAGTCCTCTCCTGAGTTGCAATCTTCTGCTGTTGCTCCTGTACTGTCTGTTTTAAAAGTTCCTGTTCCTTCTCAGCTGCCTCTGTTTTGGCTCTCTCCTCTGCCCCAGGAAATTTTCAGAAAGAGAAGAAAGAAAGAATTGAAAACAAATTTCTGCCTTCCTGAGCTCAGAGATAAATCAAACCTGAAAGGAAATCACAGAATTCAAGCAAGTCCATGCCCTCCATAGCACAGTTTAGAAGGTGATGGGAAAGGCCCTATCCCTCAAGCTAACATACAATCAAACTCCTTTTATGTTCTTTTTACATTCAGTGGAGTGTGCATTTCACAGAAGAAAGATGCTATCACATTGTGAAAGGCCTTGTTAGATCACCCAGAGTCACTAGAGGAATCTGATCACCCCTGGGTTCTCAGTCTTATCCTCTTACCTTCCATGGCCTTCTCTCTATCAGTGAGAGCTTTATCTGACTGCAGGATGGATTTCTCTATTGCTACTTGTGACTGCAGGAATCTCTGGAAGACCTCCCCTGCCTGTGGATCCAAGAAGGAACAAACAATTTACATATCATTAGAAGAAGATATCTGCAAAAGATATGCATATCATGTTGCTTCTTAACTAAATTTTATAGTGGTTCTCTATAAAGGGGTCAAGCTCCTCCATGTGACAAGAGACCTCTCACGTCTTCTGCTTCCCATTTCCTCCTCCCTCAGCCTTCTACCAGGGTTCCTTCCTGCCACTTGCTTTGGGTTCTAGCCAGTCAGAATTACCTGAATTTGTGCAAACCACAATCTCTGATACTTTCATATATTTGTCTTCCAAAGAGAAATGCTGGCTCTACACTGTGCTGCTTTGACCACAACTCATTGGCTTTATCTCTATAAAAGTTATTTTACCTGCCAGTGCTTCTCAATTCACTAGTGTAAATTGCCCACGATATAAGTTTATATTACTTAAAGTTACTTGGAGAACCAAATAAAACATCACAGAAAAAACTTGTCACTAAATTTACAAAAAATATCAGTCTAATACATAGTAGTTGTACCATTACTAGGTTATCACCACCACCTATGTATACCATTTTCAGAGGTTCATAAGTGATATCGCTGAATATACACAGCTCTATTTAGATGATCCTGTCTCTCTTATTTTGATCAGCCTGGAGAACAAAAACTCTAACTGAACAATGTAACTCTCTGTAGCACTAAGAGTACCAAGCACGTTGCAGGTTATCTTCTTGGATAAAGAAATGAATAATTTTTACTTTCTCACTCCTGGATTCATGAACTCCTTATATTTTCTTTAGGATTGAACTTTTTAATTCTCCGGAATATATAGTAAATACAAAGCATTAAAAATAAAACAGGGGTTTCTGCATGTAGCCAACTTGTTGAGCACATTCCTAGCATGAAGGAGGCCCTGGTTTTGATCCTACCTTGGGGAGTGTACTAAACCTTTCATACTATTTGCCTATTTTATTATTACTCACAGCTGTTTCTGGAAAGTCTCTGACACTACTGTCTAGGCTTTCCCAGGCTACCCTACTCCTCACCTTTACTCCTTTCCTGGGTATTTGCTGATAGCCCCGTTCAATCTCTTTCCTTAATTCCATGTATAAGTGGTGCCCTCCAGGAACAGAGAAATTTCCTGCTGAAATTTTTTCCATTAATGCTTTTGAAAGCAAATTCAGTTCATTCTGGCAGTATTGATCAGATTCCTTTTCATTGTTCAGCAAGAAATCCTGCTTCTTATTCTCTATTATTTTCTGCAAATGAAATGTACAAAGATGTCACCAGAAAATATCTCACAGAGAAAATGAAATCACAGAGAACCAAGTAGAAAGGTCAACCTATTTTTATGAGAAAATTATTCTAGGTTAATAAGATGTGTGATGAATAAGAAATTATAAAATTTGACTTATTCAAAACCCTGAAAACTTTCTGCCATATAATGGGAAACCCTGAAGCTTTCTGAACCTCAAGATCTTTATCTGTGACATGAAGGAACTGCATTCCACAATGTCTATGGTTTCTTGTAGTTGTTGTGTCCTCTAATTGTATCTTGACTACTATAATATACAACAGTGAACAATGCCCTGGAAGGAGCGTCTTGTAAGAGAAACTCAGTTTCTACTAATAAGCCAGGATACATTGAAAAAACAAACATACAAGGGACAACTAGGGAATGCTCTGGGAAGGCTGGTGGTTCACAGCATATATTTACCAGAACCCACTGGAAGTATTAAGGAGAACATCTATTTTGATTATACTTCAGTTACTCAGAGAGATTCTGCATAATATGCCTGAGGTTTTTGGGTTTTGCTTTTTGCTTTTTTGTTGTTGCTGATGTTGTTTTGAGGTGGCATGTAGTTTTAGAGACTCCACGCTCAATGACAATCAAAGTGTTTAACTTGGAATTTAAAACAAACCATGAGTTTAATAAAGCCACCTTTATGTTTTACTCATCAAGGGGAAGATCAAGAAATGTACTGAATAAGAAACAGAACAGTACCACCAGCTGCTTCTGGAATTCCTGATCTTCATCCTTAAATGACCTCTCCATGAAGACCTTGATGGCTTCCTTCTCACAGGCTGAGTGCACATCCAGCAGCTCCTGAAGTGTGTCTGTGGGGAACCGCACTCTCTGGGCCATCTGCTCACTGTAGTGGTCAGCTGCCTTCTGCATGGCTGCTGAGTTCTCTTGCTGGGCCAGAGTGGTCACTGCATTCTCCAAACAAGGCACCACCCCACTGTTGATGGCCTTCACATAGGTCTTGACCAGAGCCCCTAGGCCTGAATGGTCCAGGAATTTTAGGGGATAGATAGGAATGTTGTAATTCAGTGGGATCTAAGATTCCAACATTACCTTCCTAAAATCTTGCTCCTTCTGCTCCCTTCCTCCACCCCCCCACATACACTTACCTCCCTATGTTCATCCTCACTCACCTGTTGACCTCTCATTTCCATTGTTCTCTAGGTCAAATATTTCTAAAAATATTTAATATCTAATGTCTAGCTTCATCTAATATATTAAAGTGTATATGGAAAACATAATTTCCAAATTAAAATTTTATAGAAAAATAGATTATATAAGTGACCAATGAAGTAAGGTACCTCAGAAAATATTTACTCCTAATTCTGAAGCTTCCAGTGGATCTTCAGGGATTTAGAAGCTAGCATGTAGGGAGCTTTACACTTTTAGAAAACATTTCCTACTCTTGTTATAAACAAGAATTCACATGTAAGTCTCTATCTGAGCAAATTGTCTATATCTATTTTAGCACACAGTGATTATGATTACAAATGGAAGATTTTTTTTCAGATATGTAGAAACCACACATACTTGTTAAAAAACATACAATTTTGAAGAGGAAACTATAAACCCGAATAAATGAGATAATTATAAATTATACATACTTCTTTATAGAGTATAAAAATATGCATACCATGGTAACACAGAGAATTAAACAAAAATACTATATACTCATTTTATAGTATATTCAATGTATGTTAGTCCATCCAGAAATATGTAAACAAGACTCACGATTCCCAGTTACCACGATTCCTTCTTTGAGGGTCTTGATCTTTGCATGAGTGAAGATATAGGAACAGAAAGTACGTGTTTGTTCTTGGAATTTAGGATCCAGTTGGTCTTCTGAGACATTTTCAATATTGAGTAGATGATCTTTGTTGTTCGTTGGCCGATCAAAGATGAAACACTTCCGATTTGGAAAGAATTTCCTGATGCACTCCCTAGGAAGATTGGATATTTGTGCATTGGGATTCTGACCTAAGGAATGAGAAAACAGAGTACAATAGGAATAGGCTTCAGGGAGATAAAAAATATTTTCATAAGAATTGTTCTATCTTTGCATATTCTACACTCACAGAATGACTTTGACATGAACATTTAATATTTTTGTACATCAAACTTGTACCAATGATATAGCAGTTAGATATTCTGAGAGATATATGACTTCAGTGAAAAAGAAAGTTTCACTGATATCCCCAGATCTGAATGTGGCACCAACTATAGAATAGTAATTTATTTAATGTTTACTGAGTGAATGAAAGGTCAAATGTAAATTTCTAGTCTATACAATCCCTTCTTGAAATTGAATTGTGGGACCAAAATGAAGAGAGACTGATAGGAGACAATGGAATGATATAAAAATAAAAGTGTTAACAATATTAAGAATGCTACTATGATTATTGAAGAAAATCCATTTTGATGCTAAACGTATTTCATTTAAAGATTCCAAATACATAGAGACAGTGGTTGTCAGGGGTAAAGTGGAATAAAGAGATGATGGTTAGAGGACACAAAGTAGCACATCTATAGGGCATACCAATCTGGAGACCCAATGTACAAGATGAGGCTAGAGGTAACAAAACTATTGTAGAGATTTTTGCTAAAATGAATCAATTTAGTCAATTTAAGTCACAAAAAGACTATGTAATATGATAGATGTTTTGTGTGTTACATGATAGTAACCACTATACTATCTACATGTATCCCATATCTTTATGCTTCAAATATACACTGCAAAGTTTACTTTTTAAAATTTTACACAGTACTAGTTTTTGAAATAACCACAACTATTCTATAAAGTCTGTGTGATAAAGGACTATGTTTGATTTAACATTTTTCTCTATGTCAATTTTTCAATGGATGTTTTGAGAAAGAAGCAATAGAAAAATGAAAGTAGGAATGAGTAAATCAGAAATTATATTTTTCAAGGAATAGTGAGAGGCGCAGCCTTGTGTAGCTTGCCTGGGACCACAGCCCCTTCTCCAGACCTCAGCAGAAGAATGGTAAGCAGTGCAGCTGAGCAGGCACCTACATCCCATTCAACCTCTATACATGCCTCTGGCCTCTTGTCTGGGCTGATACCTGGATTCACACACAGAGGCACAGAGGGGTCATAAAATCCATTCTTCTAAGGTCTAGCCTTGATTTTTATTTAATTCACCCAGGTGATAGGTTATTAACTATCACAAATGTCATTTTTCTAAGCTGTGCTTGATGCTATAATTTTGCTGATTGTATTACTTGGGCTAAGATGTTGTGCTTGATTTAATCAGCTCTCCTTCCTGGTATAACGAAAATGAGATTGCCTCAGAGTAATTAGAGACTTCAAAGCTAAAGACCAACAATAACAGGAACACCAAAGTATTAACCCAGGAATTAAACCAAGGACAACACCAAAAACAAAAATAGAAATGAGAAGACATTCAAGCAAGGAACAAGTTCAACCAACAAAGGCTGCCTGTTCATCAAAGGCAAGTTCAGAAGGAATTGAGATGGTAAAGTCTGATAATCAATGACATGATCATCTTGAACCAATATCACAGGAAGTAACAGAACAGATGAATGAGGCTCTAGAAAAATTCAAAACAGAAATAATTTCCCAGATAACTACAGAAATGGTGAGCAGAATGAAAGACATCATTAGAGACTCTAGAACAGAAACAGATTTTTAAAAATATATGAGCTCAGGACCATGATAGAAAACATGAATGCCCAGTATAGGAAAGAAATGGAAACCATGAATGCTCAACATAGGAAAGAAATGGAATCCATGAAACAGATTCAAACAGATATCCAGTAGATTAAAAACTCTACTGAAAGTATACATAACAGACTGAGCCAATCTGAAGACAAGATATGAGATATAGAAGACAGGATGGCAGTCTATGATCATGAAAAGAGGGCACTCTTAAAAAAAAGTAAGGGAACATGAGAAATCAATCCAAAAGCTCCTAGATGACACAAAGAAGAATAATATAAGAGTGATAGGAGTCCATGAAAGGGCAGGAGAAAGTACAAGTGACATAAAAAAAAACTGTTCACAGAAATAATGACAGAAAACTTCCTAAACAGAGCAAAAGAATTTGACATACATATAATTGAGGCTTATAGGACTGCAAATAGCCATGATCACAAAAAGTCTACACCTAGACATGTAATAATCAAGATCCCAGTAGCACAACAGAACAAAATCCTAAAAGCAATTAGAGAAAAGAAACAAAGCACATGAAGAGGAAAGCCTGTCAGAATCACAACAGACTGTTCAACACAAACCCTCAAGTCAAAGAGAGCCTGCAGTGAAGTATTTCAAGCCCTAAAAGAAAACAACTTCCAACCTATACTAATGTCCTGAAAAACACTCATTCAAAATTGATGGGGAAATAAGATACTTCCATGACAAAGAACACCTGAGAATCTTCATGAATACCAAACCAGCACTTCAAACAATTCTAAACAATATCATAGAAAAAGACAATGAAGGTCACAACACCATTAGGCCCAACAGAGCGAATCCAGCAGGCAAGGCAAGAAATTAAAGAGGTAGGCGGAAAATTTTTAAAAGAGCCAACAACAGGAAAATAAATGACAATGATTCATCAATATATATCAGTTATAACCATCAATGTCAATGGCCTCAATTCACCAATCAAAAGAAATAGACTGGCAGAATGGATTAGGAAGCAAAATCCAACAATGTGCTGTATACAAGAAATCCACCTAATTAAAAAAGAAACTCATAGACTGAAAGAAGAGGCTGTAAAACAGTTCTCCATGTGAGAGGAACCCAGAAAAAAGCAGGGGTAGCTATCTTATTTGAAGACAAAGTAAATTGCAAACTAAAACTAATTAAGAGAGACAAAGAAGGTCACTACATCCTTGCAAAAGGAACAATCCAAGAGGAAGATATGACAATCATAAATATATATGCACCAAATACTAATGCCCCCTATTATATAAAACAAATATTAATTGACATTAAAAACCAAATAAGTACTGATACCATTTTAGAGGGGATGTCAATATCTCACTATCACAAATAGATGGATCATCTAGACAAAAAAATCAACAATGAAATACTAGAACTGAATCAAGCTTTTTTTGTTATGTTTTGTTTTTTGACATGGGGATGGAACTCAGGTCCTTGAGCTTGTGAGGCAGGCTCCAGAACCAAAACTAAATTCCTGGCTTGAACCAAGCTTTTGAACAAATGGACTTAATAGACATCTACAGAATGTTCCACCCCACAAAATCAGAGTATACATTCTTTTCAGCTTCACACAGGTCATTCTCTAAAATAGACCACATACTAGCTCATAGTACATGTTTAAGCAAATGCAAAGTTGAAGTAATCACATGTATATTATTAGGCCATAGTGCAATTAAACAGGAGTTTAATAGCAAAAGAAACTGCAAGAACTTCACAAACACATGGAAATCAAATAGAACTCATCTGAAGAACCAATGGGTCACAGAGAAAATTAAAGAAGAAATTAGACCATTTTAAAAAAATTAAATAATAATGTAAATACAATGAACAGGAATCTACAGGACACAATTAAAGCAGTCCTATAAGGGAAATTTATAGCAGTGAGTGCCCACAGTAGGAAAACGGAGCAAGTTCAAGTAAACAACCTAATGCTGAACCTTGAGCTTCGAGAAAAAGAGGATCAAGACAAACTGAAAGCTCATACAAGGGAAGAAATTAAAAAGATCAGAGCAGAAATCAATGCAGAGGAGAATAAGAGAGTGATGTAAACTATCAACAAATGGAAGAGATGGTTTTTTGAAAGACTAAGGAAAATCTATAAACCCTCAGCTAACCTTGCTTAAAAAAGGAAACAAAAGGCTCATATTCATGCAATTAGAAATGAAAAAGGTGAAGTCAAAACAGATCCAGGAGAAATCCAGAGGATAACGAATACCTACTTCAGGAAACTAATAAAATGGAAAACACAGAAGAAATGGACAGACTTCTTGGTACTCATGAATTACCAAAGTTAAACAAAGAAGATAAAACAATTCAAAACACTCCAATTACAATCAGTGAAATTGAAAACATAATTAAAAGTTTACCAACAAAGAAAAGCCCAGGTCCTGATGGCTTCACTGCTGAATTCTACAAGGCATTTAGAGAAGAACTAGTGCCACTATTCTTTAAACTCTTCAATAAAATTGAAAGGGAAGCAATACTTCCAAATTCATTCCTGGAAGCAAGTGTCACTTTGATTCCAAAACCAGGGAAAGACCCAACCAAATTAGAGAACTACAGGCCAATCTTCCTAAAGAATATTGATGCAAAAATCCTCAATAAGATACTGGCAAACAGAATACATAAGGTCATCAAGAAGATCATACACCCAGACCAAGCGATTTGTTCCAGGAATGCAAGGATGGTTCAACATACATAAATCAATAGATGTAATACACTATATTAACAATGTCAAGGACAAAAATGTATAATAATCTCAATAGATACAGAAAAAGCATTCAACAGAATTCACCACCCATTTATGATACAAACCTTACAGAAAATTGAAGTAGATGGACTTTATCTCAACTTGATAAAGGCTATCTATGAAAAACCAACAGCCAACATCATATTAAAAGGCCCAAACCTGAAAATGTTCACATTAAAATCAGAAACAAGACAAGGATGTCCAATGTCACCACTCCTTTTCAATATAGTTTTGGAAATATTAGCTATGGCATTTCAACAAGAGAAACAAACAAACAAACAAACAAAAACAATAAAGATAGGAAAGAAAGAATTTAAATGGTCATTATTTACTGATGATATGACACTCTACATAAAAGACCCAAAAAGCTCTGCTAAAAGACTTCCAGACTTAATTGACAGATTCAGTGGAGTAGCTGGATACAAGGTCAACACTCAAAAATCACTAACCTTCTTCTACACAAATAACTGACCCACTCAGTCAGAAATTAGAGAAACAATTCCTTTCACAATAGCATCCAAACAAATGAAATCTCTAGGAATCAATCTAATGAAGGAAGCAAAACACCTGTACAATGAGAACTAGAACACTCTGAAAAAAAGACTGAAGTGGATATAAGAAAAAGGAAAAACATCCCTTGTTCTTGGGTAGGAAGAGTCAATATAGTGAAAATGGCCATACTGCAAAAACTACTATACAGATGGAAATCCCAATAGTATATTTCACTGAACTACAGAAAACAATCCAAAAATTCATTTGGAATGAGAAGAGACCTAGAATAGCAAAAAAAAAAAAAAAATTCTAGGCAACAGATACATGGCATCACAATCCCCAACTTGAAACTGTACTATAAAGCCACTGTGATTAAAAACAGCATGGTACTGGCAAAGAAAAAGACCTCAGGATCCGTGGAATAGATTAGATGATACAGAAACAACTCCAGACATACTCAGCTACCTAGTCTTTGACAAAGAAGCCAACCATCCTAACTGGAAGAACGATAGCCTCTTAAAAAAATGGTGCTGGAAAAACTGGATTTCAACTTGCCAAAGATTAAAACTACATCTATCTTTCAACATGCACTAAACTAAAATTAGAGGGGACTAAAGATCTAAATATTAAAACAGAAACAAAATTTGCTGGAAGATGAGTTAGGTGGAACTCTTGAAGACATTGGCATAGGAAAAGACTTTATTTACAAATCTTCAGAAGCACAGGAACTAGCACTATCTTCAGAATCAACAATTGGGATCTCATCTTCTTAAAAACTTCTGCACTGCAAGAGAAACCACCAACACAGCTTAGAGACAACCTACAATATGGGAAAAAATTTCTACCATTTGCTCCTCAGACAAAGGTCTACTATTCAGAATATATAAAGAACTCAAAAAAAATCAGATTCCCTCAAACTTATAAAGCTGATTCAAAGATAGGCATCTGAAATGAAGAGATATTTCTCAAAGTAGTAAAAGGAGCAAATAAACATATGAAAAAAATGTTCAACCTCACTGATCATTCAAGAGATGCAGATGAAGACAACATTGAGATTCCACCTCACCCCAGAAAGAATGGTTGCTGTCAAGAAATCAACAAATAACAAATGTTGGTGGGGTTGTGGGGAGAAAGAAACCCTTCTCCATTGTTGGTGGGGTGCAGACTGGTGCAACCACTATGGAAATCAATATGGAGATATCTCCAACAACTAGGATTAGAAGTCCCATTTGAACCAGCTATTTCCCTGCTGGGTACCTTCCCCCAAAACACTAAAAGAATCATACCACAGTGATATATGCTCCCCCATGTTTATATTGGCACAGTTTGTAATAACTAAAATTTAGAAGCAGCCTAATTGTCCATCAAATGGTGACTGGATAAAGAAGATGTGGTTTTTTTATAAGATGAAGTATTAATCAGCCATAATAAATGAGAAACTACATACATTTATAGCTAAGTGGATGCAGACTGAGGCCATACTCAAGTGAAATAAATAGGACACACATGTCTAAATACTGAATAGTTTCTCTGGTGTGATAAACTAAAAGTGTAAATAAGAATCAAAATGTATAATTGATTTTGTGTAATAGGAAAAATGTCTAAAGGTGTAGGGGAAATGGGTGGGATAGGGGAAAACTATGAAAGGAAAAGAAAAAATAAAAAAAATATATAGAAACAAGGTTTTTGCAAAAAGGGATGGGTAGTGGGGGTGAAGGGAAGTCAGGGGAATGGGGAAAAAATAAGAACCAAGATATATCACGTAAAGGTACAAGGTCCCAATGATGTATATAACTGTATTGTTTATCTAAAATGTGCCATTAAAGAAAAAGGAAAAGATAATATAAAAAAGAAATTATATTTTTCACAGCATATCTTTGAATAAGTACTTATGTAAATAATTTACAAATAACCATTCACATATTAATATAATATATTTTGAAGTGATAGCATGAACAAATACACTGTAGTTAATAGAAAAGTGTGTTATCGATGTAAAGTAAAATGAATGTACAGTATTATAGCAAAAATTTAACCAGCATAAACTGAAAATGCAAGTGATTTCTCTGATTTACCTAGAATATATATTTATGTGGTCACTTTTAAATAGTTGCATACCACTATTAAGAAGTTTCTTTCTTCTGGAAAAACATTACATCTCTGTGAAACTAACACACACACACACACACACACACACAATTGGCTTTGCACCGTAATTTCAACTTTAAAAACTCTGCGACCAATTGTTCTAACAGAGGAAGCAGACATCAAAATAGAATATGCAATTGACTGGCTTTAGAAACTTATAGCATTGGTTGGTATCTGTATGCTGAAGCATAAATTGTGTAAATAACCACTTAGTTTTTAATTTCACTGTATTTCATGCTCTTAAGTAGATTAAAATTCCAATTTTTTTAGAGTGTCCAGTGTATACCTAGGTCCCCATTTCTAGAGACTTCCAGCCAGTTTCAAATATAAATGGAACCTTAGAAATGATGGAAACTGTCCTCACATCTACCCTACAGAAACTCCTCACCCATCTTTGCACTGATACCTGGAATCAGCTTCAAGGCATTCTCCAGGTACTGATCTGCTGTGATGGGCTGACCCTGCAGCTTCAGCTCCAGAATGAAATCCCGTACAATCCAGATGAAGCTGGGAAAGAAACTCACAAACTCTGTAGAATCTTGTACTTCGTTAGAATTTGAGGACTTTGCCCTGATTAGTTCTGTGAGCTCTGTCACATAACTAGACTTGGTTAAGGGAAAGAAAATTCTTACTTAGAACTCCCAGGTTTCTCTTATTAAAAGGTGTCATAAACATTCTCTTTGCCCTAGGTCACTCATGCTCCGCCAAAATCCAGTAAGCCACAGGGAAGACAAAAGCAATTCAATATTCATTCCCCAAAACCCCTATGTCATCCGGTAATTCAGGTCCTGGAAGGATACTGCAGCTGCTGCAGGGCCTGGTGGTTGATGGTGCTCATGCTGTTGTAGACAAAGACGCTGCTCAGAAGCACGGCCAGGGCAAAGATCCAAGAGTCATTCTTAGGATCAACCTAGAAAGCACAAGAGTTTAGGAGTCTACTCTTCAGAATTTCATTCAGATATTCATCCTATCGGTCTGTCATTCACAATTTCAAGTAAGGTACTCACTATGCACAAAAGCCAGACACAAATGCAAATAACATCTCTGACAACTACAATAATTCTTATAATTTCTTCGTATTAAAAGAAAATTATAATCTTTCTAACATTCCTCTTTTCCAAACCAGAGGAAATAAGTGAGCATATAGAAATATTAGTAGTGTGCCAAGTTTTCAGTAGTGTATTCAATGATAGGCATTAGCATTTTCATTCTTCATATCTTCAGTAAATACAAATATTTAATGGTTTATAGGCTATATACAAGAAAAATATTGCAAAACATTGCGGTAGGAAGGAAAACAAATTTGAAAAATAAAATTATGAGAAGAAACATAGGTAAAATGCATCATTATACTGGGCTGAACAATGGTCTTTTTATTTGATATGACGCCAATAAGTACAGTTGACAAAGAACAAATTGGACAAGTGGGACAGCATTCAACTAAAATGCTTCATGCTGGGAGAAGAATGAACCATGTTAAAAGGCAACTACAGGATGGCAGAAAATTTTTTGCAAACCAAAGCAATGCCAAACATATAATCCAATTGAAAATGAGCAAACAGCTCCAAATACATTTCTTTAAATATAAATGACCAAATGAATATAAATGATCAATAAGTTTATAAAAAGACATTCATTATCACTAATCACCAGGAAAATACAAAAGAAAATCAACAGGAGGCAAAAAATGATACCTATTCATTTGGTTATTATCAAAAAGCAGAACATAACAAGTGTTGATGAGGAATGAGAGGAAAAAAAAAGAACTCTTGTATAAGTTGGTTGAAATATAAATAAATAAACATTACAGAAAATATTATGTAGCTTGCTCTAAATATTAAAAGTAGAAGCATCATATGATCCAGCAATATCTCTTTCAATGTATAGATCCAAAGGAAATGAGATCAGTGTGTAAAGGAGATATCTATACTTCTACATTTATTGTAGCATTATTTATTACAGCAAGGTTTAGGGATAGTTTAAGTATCTATCGATAGATGAATTAATAAATATAATGTGAAATACATTTATCCAACCATAAAAATGAAGGGAATCTTGTTATTTACATCAAGAAGGACAAACCTTAAGGGCATTATACTCAATGAAGTAAGCCAGATACAAAAAGGCAAATACACATTATTGCACTTAGTGGTGGAATATAAATTAGTAAAAAATACAGTCAATCTATAGGAATAGAGAATATAATTTTTTAAGGTCTGGAGGATGAGAGAAATGTACAAACTGTGTACATAAGAAATAAAGTTTCAGTTATGCAACATAAGTAATTTCTGGAGATCTAAGGAATAGCATGGTAACTATAGTTAACAGTGTACATTTTATACTGGACTTTGCTAAAAGGCTACATCTCATACATTTACATTACAAAAAGAAAATAGCAACTATGTCAGGTTTGGATATATTAAGGGGTGGTCATTTCACAATGCATATCAAAACACCATTCAAAATATATATTCATATATATTTTATTTGTTGATTATGTGCCAGTAAAACTGAAAAATGTAAACAAAATTTCTTCTCTTTGAAAAGACATTGATAATATTGAAATTTAGGCATTATTCTCAAATAAATCATAAAAGAAGGTGAAAAAAGGCAAAACATTATATTCACCTATTGTTAAGAAGCTAAACTACCAAAACTCCATCTTAAAATGTTTATCATTTAGGAAAAAAATATTGCATAGAACCCATATACTTACAGGTTTCTCAGAGACTTCCAGAATGCTCAATGGATAGTAAGGGAAATTTACCATAAGAAACCCCCAAATCTATATTTCTTTTAGAAGCTTGGAAAGTGGATCAGAGACCCTTTCTCAGCCACTAAGATAAGGTGACACCTCACCAGCTTCCACTCCAGGTGCTCATGTGCCTAACTATAGGTGGGACAAAAGTGATGTGAGTAAAATCGCCTTCTACAACTGCAGAACTCATTGCCTAATACTGGGCAGTACTGACAGAAACCATCCCACATGTGTCAGCCATCTTATGAGACATGCTTCCAGGGCCAAATTCCAGTGATTGATCATCACCGGGAATAAAGACAGCATCCTTCTCCTGACATAGGACATCTCAAAAAGGCTGTTCCAACCACATGCCCACCTACAAGCTGACAGAGGCCAAGGGACTGCACAGTGCAGCATCTTCCTCTCTTCAACTTGCTTCTTTCCTGGTCACCATGTTATCACCACAATGGAACTGGAGAGTCTGTAGGGACCAAGCTGTAATTCTATTCACTAGTATTCTATTCATCCAGAAACTGAAACTGAGCTGCTCCGTGTTTTACTTATACAGAATGGAGTTATTCACCCCAGTGTCAAGAAATGAATATTTTACTAAAAGTACAATGATATCTGATTTTGTGTAGAAATAAGATTCAAGCAGAACAAAATTTGCCTCATTCATCATGGTTTGGTTTCATATATTTCATAAACATCACAGCCAGCAAGTAACAAAGGGTCTCGAAGAGAAAACAAGACAATCCAGAATAAAAAGGATCTGCCTGAGATTCTCCACCTCACCTTTTCCACATCACCCAGGCCCTCAGTGTCCAGAAGGACCAGGGTGTGGTTTGGCTTGGTGGGGTGGGGCACACACCACATCCAGATGCCCTTGGTTTCAGATTGTATTGTGGAGCCCAGAGGGAAACCTAAAGGGAAGAGGAGAAGCAACAGTGACCACAGTTCCATCAAGTTAACAGAAGGAATAGAGGTCAAGATTTGCTGGATAATGAGTACTCCAGTAAACAAGATAGTGCTTGCTTTCTTTCCTCAAGCATGTGTCACTTTGTAGCCATTTGTTTAAAGGGGGGGCATTAAATGTGAGAATGATGATACTCAAGGGTTCAAGATGGCTACAAAGAGGCATCCAGGAATCTGACAAAATGAAGGTTTCTGGTGACTACAATAGCATTTGTAAAGAAGGGTGGGGCTCAGAACAAAGAGGAGCAAACTGAAAAGGGAAGTGAGAGAAAAGCAGAAAAAGAAAATTGGAATTTGTTTTGCATGAAAAAGATACTAAGAAGAAAAAAAGGAAGGACAAGTGTTGGTAGTCACAATGGGATGGAAAGTCCAAGAAACATTTTAAAGATGATAAATATTTAACATTCTGTACATAGAGATAGGAATACTATGTAGAAAAATCACACGGTGATGTATAAGAAAAAAGACATGGAAGCCTAGTGATTGAAAGTATAAGAAAAGGAGAAGTCATGAGCCTTAGAAGAATATATCCTTAATGACAAGGAAAGGACATGGGAGCAAATGACAGCAAAGTAGTAATTTGGTGGTAAGAATTAAAATGAGAAATTTGCTTCACTGAGAAGAGTTCCACCTTCATGTTCCTGAGAAAAACAATTAAGAAGATGAGAAGTAGCAGGCATGAAGCAATCGGCCCACTCCAGAAAACCACTCACCACTGTTCTGTCCTGCGAGACGGTTCATCAAGTAGGATTTTCCAGTACGGTACAGTCCAACAATGGCCACCACCACCACTGGATTAGAAATCTTGCCAAGAATCTGTACAGCTTCCTGGTTTACTGTCAGTTTCTCATTAACATTTTCTATCAGACACTTGGGAGCCAACATTTTAGGTCCAGATGCCATAGCAATTTGTCAAGCTAAAATAATGAAAAAAATCTGGAGATATTTAGTGATGATAATTACACAGTGATGGGAATACACCACTGTCACTGAAACATACACTTAAACATTGTTAAAATCATGAATACATATATATATATCATATTATATATTTATATATAATACTATATATCTATATCTATATCTATATCATCTGTGGAACAACTACACAATCTGTATAACATTTTCTCCTAACAATACTTCTGCAGTCACTTCCCTGGCACAATTGTACTCTCAAAGACATTTGTTATTTTGTAAGTTCTTTGATCAGTAACCTGCAATATCTTTTAAAGTAATATTATGATTGAGGTAATAACTTCCTTCAAAAGCCTCATGTGTTCAGACGTAGGGCTTTGGAAGTTTGGTTGGATCATGGGGTACTAGCCTCATTAGTGGATTAATCCACTGGTAATTTCATGGCTGAATCCTGTTAGAAGGTGAGGCCTACTTGGAGAAGGTGGCTCACTGTACATAGACAGGAGTAGACACAGGATAACTGATCTCCCACTTGTCTCTTCCTTGCTCTCTGCTTCCAGACACCATAAAGTACTCAACAGGCATGTTCCTCCACCAGGATATTATCCCTAGGAGCCAGCCAAACATGTAAAGAACCCTCTGAACTTTTGAGCCAAAATAAACTGCTCTTCCTTGAAGTTGCAGGGGTTGAATAGTTTTTCACCAGTGGGAAAGCTAACTAATATAGAAAACTAGTACCACAGAAGTGAAGATGTTTGTGTCAATGACATCTTACCATGTGATTCACAATTCTTTGAGGCAGGTTTGTGGGAGAACTCGGAAAGTTTAGAAGTGTGAGCTACGAAAGTTCTAAAACACAATGCACAGAACTTATGGGAGATTCTGAAAAGAACTCAGACCCAAAAGGTTTGAACAGTGAAGGCAAGAAGGTGACTGACTGAGGCAAGAAGATCACAAGTTTGAGCCGAGCCTAGTTTGGGAAATTTACTGATATAGTAAGATTGTCTCTCAAAAAAAAAAATGCTAAGGGAATGTATTAAATCTTCAGTACTAAAAAAGAAATGAGTGGGAGGTCACCAGACAATTACCACAGTAGTAGGGCTTTCTCAGTTGTAATTCTAAAAAAAAAAAAAATTAAAATACCACCTGAAAAGTATACAGTTCATCTATGAATCTTCTGGCATATTTTTGAAAGTCATTGTATTAAAATAGTTTTCCATGGAATCTGTTATTTTTTTAAAGCAGAATAAACATAATGTTGATTCAAATGTCACAAATATCTATTTTGTAATTATATGATAAATATTTAAGAGGTATCAAGTGCCGACCAAAAATACCAGCTCTATCTTCAAGTTGTGTGGGTTTAAGCAAGGTGATTTGTCTTCCTAACACAAAGTTTTACTGTAATTAATAAGCTTCTGTGAATAAAATTGTAGGTACATCTGGAGGATATTTTAATAATTAAAAGAAATGGCAGAATCCTATAGCTTAACATATAGCATGTGTCACAAAACATGATCTCAGTAACTCTTTGTTGAGTTAGATAGAAATTTTTAAGATGATTATTGTAAGCAAACAATCTAGTACATTCTATATTTCATCAAAATCTTCACACTATAAATTAAGATACAAAAACTACATATGAATTTTTCACTACAACAGAAGAGTAGTCAAGTACAAACAAAAGGCACCTACACAACTTCTCTAGCTAACTCTTCATTCTTATGTGAGGCAAGGAATTTGGAGGTACACCATGAGCCTCAGCATCGGCCTTGTACTTCCTGGAACTGAACCATCCCCTGTCTGAAGTGAGGATAAAAATTATCTCTAGGATGATGTGGCCATCACTACAAACAATGTTATACATGTCTCTGTTTTCTTAGGGTTGAATAAACCATGGCTCATTTAGCTTCATATAAACTAGGTACATCTCTTTGATCCTGTTCAAGAGTGGCACTGATTTGTTGAAGTACATCAGAACCACTTGAAAGGATTGCTAAAAGCTTGGTTCCCAGGCCCCAGTATCCATATGTTAACATGTGCCACAAGGGACTAGGATGTCCCTTTAAGAAAGAAGCAAATGCCCCTGCACAGTTACAATTAAATAGTTTTTTTAATTAATAAAGAATATAGGTACTTATTTAGTTCTCCACAAATACTTTACTTTTAAGTGTTAAGTATATCTGCTAGGAAGACAGAAAAAGAAAACTTCATTTCAATTAAAATTAACTATAAGCTGCTTGTCTTGCATGGCTTTGTGCCAGAGCCATTGCAAGCCCTGATAGAGTCTGGCAGACATCTGTCCACTGCTTATCCCACTCAGCTTGTTGCTGCTGCTGCTGCTACTGCTGCTGCTGCTAAGTGATGGCCAGGGGACTGTGCATCCCACGGCCTCTGTGTGTCTGGCTGCCACCAGTCTTCTCTCACCGGAAGAGTCACAGGTTGCCCAGAACTGAAGCCAGACGCAGACCCCAGAGTTTCAGAAGAAGGCAACTTAGAATTACTGCCCTTTCCTCAGCTGCTACTTTGAATGAGAAATTCAGTCAAGGTCAAGAATAATTTGAATAATATAAGAAAAGAAAAGAAAATGAACATACTTGCTCCAGAGCACCACACTCAGCCAAGTCCTCAGATGCCTCTTACTCTCCACTTACTCTTCTTTCTCTTTCCACTTTTTTGCTTCTCCTTATATAAGCAAAGACAGGAAGTCGAATGAAAAAAAAAAAAAAGAAAGAAAACCCAGAAGCTATCTGTACTCACGCAAAAAATGTGTGAGTAATACAGAAACTGAAAGCAAAAACAAAGTATTTCCTAATCTTGTTGATTGCTAGCAGAGGCATGTCTGAAACATTTAACCAGTGTTTGACTGTGGATGTTTGCTGCAGAGGTGAGAAGTCAGAAAGGCCACAGTGACTGCATGGTGATAGTCTAGTAAATACACACTACCTGCTAGCTTTTGTCCTCCTTATCTTGGAAGGCTACTACAGTATTAAATCCAAAACTAAATATCTACTTCTAGAGTTGTTTGGGTCAAACAGCATGAAAACACCTGTTTTGGGCAGAGGCAATGAAGAGTTTTTCTTTGTCTTTCTGATTCTAAACTTGTGATTACCTACCTGGTTGCTTGATCCATTCATTCAGTTGTCTAAACAAGTAATTGTCTAACTTCCAGCAACATACCTCTGCCCATAGCTCATAGATAAGCAGAAGTAAATAAGTAGCGATGGAACATACTCAATCTGGCTTTATTAGGGGATACTTGTCTAGGTCTGTAGAGCTGTGAGAATGAGCAAGGAGGTCTACTGTGTGATTGCATGATATAGTGGCCCCTACTAGTCTAAATGGGGTGGGCCAACATGAGGTTTACAAATACCCATTTTGTGGGGATACTTCTCCATGTATTTTCTTGTTAAACTACTCTAAACACTTGCTAAACACTTGCTAAGGAAGAACTATTACATGCACATATAGAAAAAGCTATATTTCAGACAAAGAAGCTTACAGATACCTAAAATTATAATTTACTCAGTAATATGTGAATGAATTTTCCTGTAAAGAGTGATTTATTCATAGGACTAGAATTTATAGCAAAGATTGATATCAATGTGGAAGTATAAGTCATAATAAATCATGAAATAATTATAAAATGTGCATTATATATGAAAATATAAATTATAGCTAAGTAGAAGTTCAGATCAGCACACAATGATAACATTGCTTATTTCTATATTCTAATATACGCATTGGTTAGTATTTTCCTTCCTGGCTCCTCTCTTTACTCTCTGGTTTCTCTCTGCTATAAAGTGAGTAGTGTCCCTCCACCACACCCTTTCAGAATGCTGCTTCTACCTGGAGCTGACCAATCATGTAAGGACTGAAACTTATAAACGTGAGCCAAAATAAATTTTATTCGTAGATATCTGGTATTTTGTCTCTGTGACTAAAAAGTAACTAAGAATGATAAGAAGAAAGTGGCTGAATGAGTAGGGAAAATGGGAAGGGTAAGGGAAAGGAAAGAAGGGAAAAGAAAAAATATGATAAAAGGAAAAAAATGGAAAGAAATCTTTGTAAATAAGGAAGGGGAGGGAATGAAGAGAGGGAAGATTAGAAAAAAATAAGAACCAATATATGTCATGTAAAGGCTCAAGATCCCAATGATGAATATAACTGTACTGTATACCTAAAAAAGTACCAATAAACTCACTGAAAAAAATAATAAAGTGCTAACAGAATCTGAAATTACTTATTTTTATTTTTTCTTTTGTATAACATTAAGGAAATAATTGGTATCAGAATAAAATCTAGCACTATCATTAAAGTTATAAAGAAAGTCTCTAAAATCCCTAAGCTTATTGCTTCTTTGCATAACATATTCTTACAGAGAGAGAGGTTTCTTTTGGAAACTTCTTTTAGAACTATCCAAACAAAACCTAATATGATAGGATAATGATCATGGCAATGATAACAAATACCATAGTAACATGATTTCACAATTGTGAAGTCATGTTTTGAGCACTGAGGAATAGAATTTCAATATTTTTTCTATAAGGCTGAAAGGTCTGAATACAAATAACCATAATCATATGTGCTAATTGAAATAAAGTGGGTACTTTCATACATGATTACATTTAGTCATTCAATATATATATTGACCACTAACCATGTACTGGACAGTGAGGAAGGAGTAGAGGATATCATGACTAGCAAAATAACCATAGTTCTTAAATATTTTAAAAATAAGATATAAGACTTTAATAAACAGCCCTACCAACAAAAATGAACTGTCCTACTAACAAAATTAACATTTTAATTTCTGACACTCATTATAAGGGAATAGTACAGAGTATCATATGTAAGTATAGTAAGGAGACCTAATTTCACTTAGCTGCTCAGAAATACTTCTTTTTGGGAAATAATTCAGATTTATTTTTAGTGAGTTCAACTTAGGAGTTTGGGGGATAAGTCAAGTGAGATCCAGGTGGGATTTGGTGCAAAATTCTAGATTGGGGAAGAGCTTGGTGTGGCTGGTCCTGAATGAAGGTCCAGGTGAAGCAGAGAAAACTGGGTTTAAAAAGGAGTGGGCAGGAGGCAGACTGAATACTTGCAGGCCTTGGTACAGAGATGGACCCTAAGGGCAACAAGAAGCAGATAAGCTCTTCAGTAAATAGGTGACATGACTCGGTTTAGTTGCTGTCATTTTTTAACTGCTGGGTCTATTGAATTGAAGACAGCAAAAAATGAAAATTTAACAGTTCTGACTCAAGCTGGGTACAGTGGTGCACATCTGTAATCCCAGCACTCTGGGTGGCTGAGGAAAAGGGTCCCAAGTTAGAGCCCACTCTGAGCAATTTAGGGATTTAGCAAGATCCTGTCTCAAATTAAAAGAGAAATAGTGCTAGGCATATAACTCAGTTGAATTCCCTGGTTTCACTATCCAGTACTCAAAAAAAGAAAAAAGCTATGACAGCCTTAGCAACAAGCCAATTTGCAATCTTTTTGTAAGAAAGATTTTAAAAGCTGAGTGCCATACAACTGCTCCTCAAAAACAATACAGAAGTACTGGAAATCTGGTAAAATGTTTATCCTTTACTTCCTCCAAATTGCATGCACTTCCAGATATTATGAAATGAGCTAGTTGGATTGATTTCACAGCCATAAAACAATTTGCTGAGCCAGTGCAAGGCTATTTGAAGGGATATTTCTCAGAATGTAATTTGCATCGAAACTGAAAGCAACCAAGAGCTACCTCTAAGATAATGCTATTTCCAGGAAATCAGTTGCTTTTTCTTCTAGTAAAACAAAAGCATATTTAAAAAAAAAAAAAAAAACTAGTAGCAGACTACATAAAAAGTATTCCAGGATAACTAAACCACTGGTGGACTGTGGCAAATTCTTTTTAGACACCACATTTTTTCACTGCGTCCATGTATATTCACAGAAGAAAAGTGGAAGGAACTCATTAGGGACATGAAAAAATTTTGGGGTGTTCTACCTTTTAATTTTTATATCAGTGTTGACAAATAGATATGCTTACTTTGTTAAAATTTTTTAAGTTGCACTTTTATGAAGTGTATTCTCCTTATCCATATTTCTGCTTCAAAAAAGTTAACTTAAAACTTATTTACAAAGAAATATAACAAACTTTGCCAGGACTATTCTTTGAAAAATGTTTCTGACAGACTTGAAGAGGGCTAACAAATGGACAGATGTACCTAGATAATAGATGATAACATCTATTGTTCTTCAAATGTCATGCACTCTACATTTATTTTTAGATTCCATACAATCCAAAGCAAAATCCCAATGGATATTGGAGGGAAGTTGTCAAGCTTGGACTAAAATTCATAGGAATATGCAAAATACCAAGAATTGTAACAGCAATTTTGATTAAGAACAAAGGCTAGAGCCATGCCCTCTCCCCCCTGGAGCATAAAAAATACAGATACCATAAAAACAACTATCCTGTGCAATTGTTGTCAGAATAAAATGTGATATTTAAAATGTCCAGATCTAATTATCAAAAAGGTGAGATGGGAGTGATTATAATGATGATTTACTCAGCAAACACAGAAGGACTATAATGAAGTGCTTGAGTTTGAATCTTAAGATCCACTTCTCAGTATCCCTGTGACTGGAGACAGATTACTCTATAGCTCTGGGCCATCGCTATCTAAAATTGGGGGAAAATATTTGCTGGGAGAATTAAAATAAGCAATCCATGTGAGCACTGCACAGGGAACAGAGCAAATATTTAAAAAATAATATTGTCATCATTCGTTGTGCAATAAGTATCAACAATTTTGTCTTTTTCTCTAAGGTAAAGTTCTCAGCTACTGAACTTACTGTAAAAACAATAAACTTTCTATTCAGCCATAAAGAATGAGAAATTAGATTCATTCATAGGAAAATGGATACATTTTGAGGATATACTCCTAAGTGCAATGAATAAGTCACACATGTATAAATACTGAATAATTTCTCTGGTGTGAAAAGCTATAATAGTACGTAAGATCCTAATGAGATAATTGACAATGTGAAATAGGGAGAAAAGGGATAAAGGTGTAGGGAAAGTGGGAAGGGTAGGGGAAAGGGAATAAGGGCAAAGAAAAAAATACAAGAAAATGAAAAAATGGAAATAAAGTGTTTGTAAATGGGGAGGGGAGGAGGGGGTGAAGGGAGGGCAGGGATAAGGGGAAAAAATGAGAACCAAGACCTGTCATGTAAAGGTACAAGATCCCAATAAAGAATGTAACTGTACTGTATACCTAAAATGTACCAATAAACTCAATTTTTAAAAAACCAATAAATTTTATCCAGCGTCAATGCATCTAACATTTCAGAAATAGGCCCTCAAAAAGCATATGAAGTTTTCCCTCACAGAGTTTGTGTTTCCAAATTGAAGATAATTTCAAACTAGATAAAATAACATACACTTGGAAAAATTATAAAATATATCCAAACTATCTTTCAGTAACAATAAGTAATTTTTGGGAAACCAGGACAAACTAAACCTTCCACTAGGTATCACTCAGGAAATTCCCTTTTCAACTGTCTAGTTACTGACTGCTTCACATTTCTATAGAGAAATTTGGAGATCCTTTTCTGACTTTCATTATGCTTGCATTTCATATTTGAATTATCTGCGGGGAGGTGTCACCTGGGAGGAGAAAGGAAATTCCAAGCATGGAGTCATAGCTAAA